CAACACACATATGTGTGTTAGCCTACAAACACATATGTTTAGCTTCAAAATGATGTAATTAAAAAAGATCAATGGTAATTTAGAATAATCACACTATTTTTGAGCAGATTTAGCTCAAAACCTTTTCTGCTGTGGAGAATAACAATGTGAGTGTAGAGTTCTTGTACTTTAGACTTCAAAATCTTGATAAAGGTCAGCCAATAGGTTATTTTCTTATAATTGTCATTTGAATAAAGTAAACATTCGACCTCAAACTCAACCCAAGAATTTTATTCTTCAGGTGCATTTGTATGTAGAAATAATCCCAAATGTTGGAAACCTAAATAGTTTAAAAGTAACTATATCTGGAAAAAATATCAGTCTAATTTAATGTGTTTTGAAATGTCTCCCTATGTCTAGTGCTAAATACTCATCTTTAGTCCTATAAAATGATCTAAAAATTACAGAGGTAACTCATGGTCATGCTTTCATATAATGGTAGGTAATTCCATCTCTTACTCTTCTTCAATTTTCTATTTTTTCATAATTCTTTATGCCTTAGTTGTTCCAAGATTACTAAAATGTTCAAATTCCACATTGCAACTTACATTTTATAGTCTGCTAATTCCCTCCTTAGAAGAGCTTATATTTCTGTTATTAAAGTATACTTAAATTATATCTCTAATTATATCTCTATCAAAAAGAAAGAAAAATAATCTTTTTGGTGGTCTATACATTTGGAAATTATGATGAACTTCTTTGCTTCGAAAATAATATACTGTCACTACAGAGTATATTTTCACTTTATACATCTCTTTATTCCTCTGTGAATTTAAAACACTTCAAATAATTTGGGCTTTGGCTGATTCCCCCAGAATTGTAGAGTATGACTGATAACTGCCTTTAGAATTCCTAATAGCTAAATTACAATTATTATGCAAAGTCCTACAATAGACAGTTATATGGATTGTTAAATGACTTTGCCTTTTTTGCAAACTATAATCATTTTCCTTTATTAGCTGAAGGATTTCATAATTTAAGGAAGATGAGAAACCTATAAGTCACGCTTTCAAATAAGGAACATGGATATTGCAAACATTAAATTCCCCCATAAAAATGTTAAGGCATCATTAAACTAGGTTCAGATTAATACAATTCAGTCAACTCTAGATAGATATCTCCCATAATAAGCTGAAACAATACCTAGTGATCTAAGATGTAAAATATTTTACTACAGCCAATTTATAAACCTATAAAACATACAGGTATCATTCAACCTCTTTATTAATAGTGCATGCCTTGTATTAAATCAAAAGCATTTCAAAAGCCCCTCCCCTTTGGCATTCCCTTCCTCAGCTGTTGCCCCTCATTATGTGTTATCTCAGTGAAGCCCATCCAAAGTGAATGACAGCATCTTTTTTTACTAGAAGCAGCATAGGCAATTCCCAGCCTAGTGATATAGCTTAACTATCTCTGAGATTTATAGACACACTTGCTATCCTCAACCTACAACATTCTATGGCCTAATGTTGATGTATTTGTTTATCTGTAAGTAGATGTGTTTTTTATCACTTTGGAAAACTGCAATTTATTATTTTTAGGTTTGTAAGTAGCTTTATATGTGAATTATATTCACAAGAAAACTGATGTTGGGACAACTTCATTTTGTAGGCAATTTTGTATCTGTTCAGAAGAATCCTTTTTTCACCCTGTTTCTGCACAATAAGAAAGCCAAGCATGTCATACTGGCTGAGTTACTGAAAGTATAATGAATTACCTGTTCTGGTTATCCATTGCCACATATCAACCCAAAACATAATGGTTTAACATCTCAAAAACAGCAATGCAAATCCGCAAGTGGGGCAAGATTGTGTGGTGTTTCCTCATCTCTGCTCCACTTGGCATAAACTGGCATAGTCCAAAGTTAGAGGCTGGAGTCACCTAAAGATTCACTCATGTTTTTTGGTGAGCACTAGCCTCATGTGGTACCTCAGGCCTGGTGCCTTCAGGGCAGCCAGATTCATATACCTTGACTCATGGCTCCCAAAGCAGAGCACAAGAAGGACTGGATGGGAGCTCCAGCTCCTTCGCCAACCTGGTCTCATAAGTCCTACCGATTATTTCTATAATACCTCATTCCATTTGTTAAAAGAGACTCAACAAAGATGAGCCATAATCAAGGGGAGGAGAATTACACTCAACCTTTGATAGGAGAAGTGTCAAAAAAGCCTGAACACATTTTAAAACTGTCACATCATACAAAAGGAATTTAACACACTACTTTTATATAACAATAACTTAAAAATCAACAGTTCATGTTTAAAGTTGTCTCACAGACACTACTTTTAAAACATAAATTCTGTTTTTAATGTAAAACAATGGTATTTTCCAGCTTTAATGAGGTATAATTGACAAAAAAAATTATAATATATTTAAAGTACACAACATAATGTTTTGATATATGTATACACTGTGAAATGATTACCACAATCCAGGTAATTAACACATCTATCACCTCACATAGTACACACACACACACACACACACACACACATATATATATATATATATTTTTTTTTTTGGTGAGAACACTTGTTCTTATTACTATGCTCCATAGACTCCTTATTAATAAGATGTGTTATCTCAGGCCATCTTGCTAAAACATTAAAATATAATAAATAAAATTTAATAGATATAAATATAAGTCGTATCTTTAACAGAGAAATTTTGAACTCTGATTCATCACAGATACACATGCATGGATTAAGTAAGCTATGAAAGAATTTTCATAATATTTTTGACAATGGAGTTGTTATATATAACATGAATAAATATGTTGTTTTTAATGCAAAATTATCCCAGAATAATCTCTCTATAACTGGGGAAATAATTTTAAAGAATAAAGACCAAATCTCTAAAACTGAGATTATCCAGGAAATAATAATAACAGAAAACATTACAGTATAAATGCTTACACTGATATATATATACACATTTAAATATATAGTCTATATTAAGATTATAAAGTATTAACAAAATCCCTATTGTCAACCAAAACATTTATCATTGATTTGACCACAATCACATTACAGAAATGTATTTCTCATTTACATACAAACAATCTGATCTGAGTGTTCCTAGTAGACAAGAAGCTAGGCTTCCTCACTTAAGCTTGATGTATTAGTGACAAAAGAGGAATGTGTCTCATTACAGTACTACACAGAGAGAACCATGAAGTTCATTAGTGAAAGGATATTATCCCATTTACCAGAGCTTCAACAAGTATACTTTGTTGTCTGCTTTGTATGGCAGGAAATCATGTGATATAGATTTCTAGGCAGTGATCAGTGGTTTTGCCAGTTGGTCAGAAGTAAGAGATAAGACTGGAAGTACAGTGATGAGAAGAACTGGGGAGAAAGCATGTGAATAATCTTTCAGAGATGGCCTGAAATAACAGATATTTGTGTATCATGTTAACTGTAATACCAATGAGAAATCACTTTACAACCAGATGGACAAGGATGACCTGCTCTGCAGATAAACTGCCTCTTTACTTGACCACCTCTTTGTTTATGTAATGGGCCCATGATAAGAGTGGCCTTGGTGTCAGGGATGGAAGCAATGCATAAGCCCATAATTTGGACTTTAGCTTAATACAGCTGATTGAACACATCACTTCTAAGTTTACAAACAGTCAGTATCAGAAATGGAGCCTGTATCCTGGATATGGCATCATTTCTTTGAGGGCTGAGTAGGTGGGTAACAGACAACAGGTTAAATGCTGGCATCCAGATTCTGCTGTTCCAGGCTTCTATCATTGGCATTGCTATTGAGGAACACCGTTTGATGGCAGCATACCTACTGTCAACTCTGACTTATAGAGCACAGTCACTATTAAGCTCCTCAAAGGTGCCCCCTCACCAGTACATTCCTCACTTCCATAGTAAAGAAGGTTCTTCAAAATTGTCCCAAAGAACACAGTCAGATGGCGTGTTCTTGGGTCCAACCTACCACACCAATTTTAACTTGCCCATCTTTATGAACATGCTGAATGACTTTGTTTACCACCACACAAAATTCTGATATTTCCACTACTTTTACTCTAATGTATCATCAAGGTTAGACTTCTAAGGAACAGCAAAGTTATGGAAAAGAGCTCTAGGTTTCACTCCTAAAATGTTGAGTCATGACTCATGGTGCATAACATCATGTCAATGAATTCTCTCGTACCCAGCCTAATACTCTGTGTCACTCTTTCTCCACACCAGTCTGCCCCTCTCCACTCAAGATCTTCCAAGGTGTTCCCCAGGTTATTTCCAATACATGTTAACTAAGTGTGTGGAAGCATTGCTTGTATCTTGGTGGATCTTCTCTGAGACCTAACATTAATTATCAGCAATTTGGCTGAAGTTAGGTATAGGACCACAGCTTGAAATGTAGTAGGTAGCAAGCTCAGCCAAGGCATCAGCAGTGGTACTAAATTCTAGGAGGTAGACAGTTAACTTCTGAAGGAAATGCAAAGGAATCTGAGAAGGCCCAAAATTTTATATTTAACCCAACAATTCTTTCAGGGCAATAAGGCCTTCAAGGTTATAAATTTACCACCAAGTTTTTACTTTTTTCTTTCCCTATGATGTATGGATTTCTAAATAAACTATAAAAGACCAATTTTTTGATCCCAAAGAGTTCTTAGCTGTATAAGTTAATTTCTCTATTATAATTGCCATTGTTTGCATAACATAAAAAGAAAGACAAATTTTCTCATCATCTGACTAACTACAAACTATGTACTTATGGGTAAGAAATTTAACTTCTTAAGCCCTAAGCTATAATTAAAATTTGTGCATTATCAAGTAACTAATTGGATTATTATAAAGACACATTAAAATTAAATCCATGCATTTCTATTAAACAGATCATGAACTTTCACAAGCAGGTAAATTAAGCCCTATATTAAATATAGTAATATAACTATATGTTTCATCAAAAGAAATATATAAAATAAAGGTAAACTGAGGCTAATGGTAATTTAATAAAATTACATAAGCAAAGTTTATTTGGCAAGACAAACTGTATAGTAATTCACTAATAGGTTATAATGAGTGCTATTTTGTGTAATAAAGAAAAGGTTAAGTGTGAACAAGAGTATACAAGATACAAAGAACCAAAAGGGCAAACTATATATTTGAAAACACTGCTGTGGTTTGTGTTCAAACATTTCATATCTCTAACAGAACTATTTTTTAAATGCAAACAAAAGGTAAATTCAATTATCATATGAATGTTTGAAACTCTCCGATATAATAAATCCCCTAGGATCACATATCTGCTAAACAGATTTCCTTCTCTTTCCAAATACATTATTGATCAATTTGGCCATTGATTTTGATCCACTGGATCTTCTCTTTTCTTTGAGTTTGAAGTTTGTTAGGATGTCCTTGATAATTCTGATAAACATCATTTCTACCTCTAGAGACTGCTCTGCTGCAGATAGTTCACAGAATTGGCATCGGTTATCCAATGCCAACTTTTGCCCTTCTTCCCAGCCAACCTCTCGCACATGACAGAGATCTTGCTTGTTACCAATCAAAAGCACTGCTGATTCCACAGCTCTGAAATATAGATACACAATTATTTGGCAAGACTGTTTTAACAAGTTTTTCTTTATTACATAGGTTTATATCAAAAAGAATCATGGACCAAAACAGAAAAAATTGTGTGTGCATATATGTGGTATTTATGGTCACGTATGTGTGTTGATGACACATATGCCCATTTACATGCAAAGATTATTTTAGATAGAATGTAGTAAATGACACAGAAGCAACAAGGCTCTTAACACATAGAATTTGAAATAGTATAAACCTATTCTTGAGTTATGGCTCTGTTTATTAACAAGGTGTGATTATTACTTTCTATTTTCAATTTCCCTATATGTAAAAAATGATGAAATAGTCCTGTTACACAAAATTCTCATAGAGAGTAAATGAAATTATATATATATATAAATACCTAACACAATGTCAGAAAACAAAAGATACATTCTAAATATTAATTTTTACTCACTGATCAATTCAAAGAGGACTAACTTTTTACTAAAAAGTAACTATAANCATGACATTTCCTTCTAGACATTTTCAAAGTTCCACTCTCAAAACTCAAAAGCTGCCAGCAAGGGTCACAAATTCTTAACTCTTTAGAATTGTATTATTTCCCCCCTTGGTCTTCATTTACAAGATGAAGTCATTTTTTGCCCGTTTGTTGTCCCCGTGCCATGGTGGCCTTTTGCACATTTGGTTATCTTTTCAAAATGTCTCTAGGTCTTGTATTCTTAATAGAGATGTTAACAACGAGAAATGTGTACACATCATTCATTTGTTTCTATAGCTATAGCCTATAAAAGATGAAGGTGATGGGTTTTGTTGCTGGTGTTGTCTGGGTATTGTTTTATTTATGTTTTGTTTTGTTTTGTACTTCTGGAACATCTCCTTATGTCTGTCTCCTAGTGTGTGTGTGATGTTGACCTTTTTGACCGAGGTTGTTGACCTAAGAAATGAAGCAACAAGAATTTTTCTGTCTATATAGTTTTCTTTCTAGAGTCAGTTTTCAAGCACTTGTCCTAAAATGTTCAGAATGTTATATGGACTGAATTATATTGGAAAGATGTAGGAAACAACACAATGCCATACTTTAAAGTTATTTTCTGAAATACTTTAATAATGCTACCTCATAAATGAATGCTAAAGATTTTTGTTTTTGTTTATTTCTCATGGAAAAAAATACACTTGCAGTCATAATTTCCTCTTACTCTAAATAAATATTATTGAACAAAATTATTATTTCCCTTTCTTCCAATTCTCATATTTCTTATAAATCTGTCATTCTTATTTAAAAAAAACAAAAACAACAAAGAACCCCTTTCTCCCCATGCCTTCAATCAGATAAGATATTAGTACTATTATATGGGTTAATTTCTGAGCCAAAAATACACTCAAGTCCTCTGGAAAATTTCCCATTTTTATTAATTCTCCACTGTAGTATTTCCCAGATGTCATGCTAGTTCTGATCAAAATAACAGAAATTTACAGTAGTTAGTGAAATGATCCTAAAATTAAATCAGGGTNACAAATACCATATGATTTCACTTATATGTGGAATCTAAAGAAGAAAATAAACAAACAAACAAAACATAAACAAAGTCATAGATACAGAGAACATTTTAATGGTTACCAGATGGGAGGGGAGTTGGAGGGATGGATTGAAAAGGAAAAGGGATTATGAAGTACAAATTGGTAGTTACAAAATAGTCATGGGGATGTAAAGTATAGCATAAGGAATACAGTCAGTAATATTTTAATAACTATGTATGCAGTCAATGAGTACTAGATTTATCAGTGTGATCACTTTGTAAGTTATATAAATGTCTAATTATTATGTCATACAACTGAAACTAATATAAAATTGTATATCAACTTCAATTGAAAAATAAAAAAATATTTAAAAAGAAATATGTTTCTTTGATAAGATAATGCTTCCATAAATATCAATGTATTCTCATTGGTTACAACAAAACATTCCTAAAACAGTTCCATTAGAAGAATACAGCAAGACCACTAGTCTTTAAGTGGCATGAAACTCTGTGAAGTTATCTGCTATAGGGCAGAAATGGGTAAATGCTGTCTTCAATTCTGTTTTAAGAGATACTGCTCTCAGACTCCACTGAAAGATGGCTTTATTCACATGGCAGTCAGTGTGAGCCATGAGGAAAAAATCATTGTATGTTTTGGATTTTGAAGGTATTAATAACATCTTTTTCTATATAGTTCTGAAAACTATTATAAAAAAATGAGAGTGAATTATTTTGAAGGATGAGTCACAAATATCAGATGTAATTTTAATAAAACAATGCCATATTATGCTTTTCTAGTCTATTTACAGATTGAGAACTGAAAATATTCTGACAATTATTTAGTCAGTCAGTACATTAAGAAGATTGCCTGAAAAATGTCAAATGTAATTTTTTATTTTCATATGTTTTTGAGTATTCTTGAGTGATTCTTTTAATTTGGAGGAATATCAAAGAATGTTATTACTGGCCCTTACCTAAGTTATGGTGCTTAAATATAAGGCATTTAATGCTTGAAACAATGGAATTTTAAAAATCAGTACTATATAGGAAATCAGCGCTGTGAGGTACAGTAGTGAAATCACATCCTTTTCTCCTACCAGGTGTCCATCAGTTTTATAATCAGGAAAATGAGGTCTTAGAGATAAAGGGTTTATCTAAGGTCAATCAGATATAAACAAGAATGTATGTCAAGTAACTCCAGGGAAATACTCTTTATCAATTATTACCTGATGGTTTCTTGATAGTGGGCATTTAAACTAGATATAAAAAGCACCTATACAAATTTTCAGTGATAATATTATGCTTTTTTGCTTCCCAGTTTAGAATGTTATTTTGGACTCTAAGGGAAAATTTTGTTAAGAGCACACAGAATCCCTTACATCAGTATTTTGAACAAAAATAAATATTTTAAATTCAAAAGTCTATAAAACAAGAAAAAGGAAAATTAAAATGGGACATTTATGTTTAAACTTATATCTACTAATACAACAATGGTTTAAGGCACAGTTATGTCTTTCTTCATAGCTACTTGTGTCAAGACAACGATGAGGAATTGTTGATCAGCTCTTTATTTTAGGAGGTGAAATGGAGAAAATGTATTCTCACATTTAGAATTTGTAACAGTTTTATTATTCAGTCTATTTTGCTGTGATAGATTGAATAACCAAATGACTAGGAACTGGATGCCAAATGTAATAAATCTGGATTTATTTAGTATCCTTGACATTTTTGTGGGAATGAAAAGGAAAGGTTGGAAAGCACACTATCTTGTGTACTGAGGACCATTATTTTGCAAGGGAGTGTCATGTTAACAATAGAAGCTGTCTTGTAAAATAGCCATTTACTCAGGGCAAGTAACTGTTTATGTCAGCCAGGATATAAAGTATTCGCATCTTAGTCCTTTTACTACGTGTGTAACTCCTGGGGAATGGAAGGTGAATTGTTCAGGGCTGTTAAATTTTGTAATTGGAAGGCTGTATTAAACTCTTCCTAATGATGCTTACAGCTAGCTATATGATGATTTACTAAAAAGAAAGGAGAGAGGAATGAAAAATACCTTACCTTTTACAATGGCTAGTTTGTGACTCCCGGATTCTGTAGATCAGTGCTTTTGCAAAAGCAAACGAAGACCTGTCACTGATGTCATACACAATAACAAAACCATTTGCCCATTGCAGCTCGCTTGTGAGGGAAAATTTTGCTTTCTGCGGCTGAAAATAAACCAAGCACATTGAAAGTGGTAGAATCTGACACCTGTATTTTATACTTCAGACAGTTAATTAATAAAGATCCATTTTACTTGCAAGAGAATTCAAAAAGGCAGATACTATTTTCTAAAATGTTTCCTTGTTTCTTTCTTATCACCCTCTTTATTTAATTAAAAGTGATTAAATTTTAAAATATAAAGAATTATAATAGTTACATTTATCACACTTTACCACTTTAATAAAATATCTCCACCTTTTTCTGAAAATTTGATGTTATAATAATTGCTTTTGAATTAATATCCACATATTTATTTTGATAAGCGATAATATTTTGTCTATATTAGTAAAGGGAATATCTATTGATTTTTGGTACTAGATTTAAAGCAGTAAAAATAATATTGATNGGAGTAGGTAAATGCTGTGCTTGCCTCCTCTCATGACAACATCAAAATTACAAGTAAACTACAGAACAACCATCACTGAGAACCACCTAAAGACTAGCTGAACAGAAGTTGTATAAGAAAGGACATACAGAAGAAGCCATATCAAGACTGGGAGGACGGACAGAGATGGGAATGGGCTGTCCCACACCCACATGGGGCAGTTAAAAATTGAGAAGGATATCTCAGCTAAAAAATTACTGCCTGAGGAGCACGAGTCCCAGCCTCACACCAGGCTCCCCAGCCCAATGTTTCAGTATCAGAAAGAGAAATCCCAAAACTTCTAGCTATGAAAACCAGCAAGAATGTGGCTGAGTGAGACAAAGGTGTGCTGAAGTTCCAGATGCACCTATTAAAGGGACCACACAGGGACTTACTCACTGACAGACTCACTCATTCTGAGCTCCAGTGCTGGGACAGCAGCTCAAAAGGTGCCAGGGACATAGGAGAGGAACTGAATTGTCTGGCTTAAGAATGAAGGCTAAAGGGTCTGCTTACTCCCAGACAGAAGTGCTGGCAGAAGCCATTGTTCCTTTGTTGATCCCTCCCCTGACCCAGTATGTAGATGAAGGCAGGTGCCATTTCTGAATCTCCATCACTCCAGCTAACATCATGCATCCTGCCCTGGTGATACCCTGCGACCCACCCCACCAAACTTATGGGTCTACCCAAACCACTTCTAGTAGCTTTTTCACACAAACAGTTTGTTTTGGCTCATGCTGCAGACTTGCCTAAAATCTCTCAAAGGTTCACAAACCTGAAACAAGCAGCATCTGGCCTTGGCGTGTTCTTTCTAAGTGGCCCTAAGTCTGGCACCAGCAGCAGCCTGCCTCGGTTCAGAGCTAAGCCTCTTCCAAGCACCTCTATGCCCAGCACAAGTGGCAACCATCTGCAGATCACTTTGTACCTCATACCAAGTGGCACTGGGCAGGGCACAGGCAGCAACTAAACTTGGCCTGAAACAGAGACCCTCCCAAAAGGCCCCAGAACCAACATATCCAGTGGCTAGCTTCAGATCACACCAGAGCATTACCCAACTACTTCCACAAATGACACACACAAAGTGCAGACTCAGCAGGCACCAGAGACCTGCTAAAGTGAATCTTTCTCTGTAAGGTCCACCCTAGCACAACAGTTCCTCCAGTATAGCCATGGACAGTCCTTATAGCCAAAAGCCCGAGGGTCAATCCCTCCCATTGAGGTGCAAACAGCAACCAAGGCTCAACTATAACAGAAGGACATATACAACCCACACAAGGAACAGTCCTGGAACACCCAGCTCAGGTGACCAGGGAGATTGGCCACTGGGCTTCTGAGGACACCTACTACATAGGGCCACCCTGCCAAGACTGAGAGACATAGCAGTTCTACCTAATATATAGGAAAACAAAACAAAACAAAACAAAAAACACAGGAGGCAGCCAAAATGGGAAGACAAAGAAACATGTCCCAAATGAAAGTACAGATCAAAGCCCCAGAAAAAGAACTAAACAAAATGGAGATAAGCAATGACCACATCCATAGTTTAAAACACTGGTTATAAAGATGTTCAATGATCTCAGGGAGAACTTCAACAAAGAGATACGAAACATGAAAATGTAGATAGAAAACATAAAAAAGAACCAGTTAGAAATAAAGAATACAATAACTGAAATGAAGAATACATTAGAGGGAATCAACAGTAAATTAGATGAAGCAGAGAATTAAATCAATGATTTAGAGATAAGGTAGCTTAAAATACCCAAACAGAACAGCAAAATATGAAATGAATTTTAAAAAAATGAGGATAGTTTATGAGGCCTCTGAGACAACATTAAGCATACCAACATTACCTCATAAGGGTACCAGAAGGAGAGGAGAGAGAGCAAGGAATTGAAAGCTTATTTGAAGAAATAATAACTGAAAACTTCCCAATCCTGGCAAAGGAAATAGACATACAAGCCCAGGGAGCAAAGAGAGTCCCAAACAAGATGAAACCAAAGAGGCCCACACCAACACACATCATAAATAAAATGCCAAAAAGATTAAAGGAAAAGAGAGAATCTTAAAAGCAGGAAGAGAAAAGCAGTCAGTTACCTACAAGGGGGCTCCCATAAAACTGTCAGCTGATTTCTCAACAGAAACTTTGCAGTCCAGGAGGGATTGGCAAGAAATATTTAAAGCAATGAAAGTAATATTCAAAGTAATCTACAACCAAGATTACTCTACCCAGCAAAGCTATCATTTAGAATTGAAGGAGAGAGATAAAGAGCTTTCCAGACAAGAAACGACTAAAGAAGTTCATCACCACCAAATCAGTTTTACAAGAAATGTTAAAGGGACTTCTTAGAGGAGGAGGAGAAGGGGGTGTGGGAGGAAGAGGAGGAGGAGGAGGAGAAGAAAAATGAATAAAATGGCAATAACTATATATCTATCAACAATTACTTTCCATGTAAATGGACTAAATGCTCCAATCAAAAGACATAAATAGGGTGGCTGAATGGATAAGAAAACAAGACTCTTACGTATGTTGTCTAGAAGAGACTCACTTCAGATCGAAAGACACAAAGACTGAACATAAAGAGCTAGAAAAGGATATTTCATGAAAATGGAAACAGGAAAGAAAAAGCTGGAGTAGCAATACTTATAATAGACAAAATAGACTTTAAAACAAAGACTATAACAAGAGACAAAGGAGGTCCCAGTAATCCCATATGTGGATATTTAGCCAAAGAAATCCAAAACACTACTTTAAAGGGACACGTACAACCATATGTTCTTTGCAGCATTATTTGCAATAGCCAAGTTATGGAGGCAATCTGGGTGTCTATCAAAGGATGAGTGGGTAAAGAAGAGTTGGTACGACTGAGTTGGCCCACACTTCCCATTTATAATCAATAAAGTTCCTGTGCTTCCTCCCACACACCAAAAAAAGAAGAGGTGGTACAAATGAGGTGTGATCAAAGAATACAGTGAATATTTAAATTAAAAAAATATTACAGTAAAAGACACATTGCCATTAATCCTCTTCAAAATACTCTGCCTCACTTCAAACACACTTACCCCATCCTTCTTGCCACTTTCTGAAGCATTTCTGGAAGTCCTCTTTCATGAGTGTCTTTAGTTGCACTGTTGTAGCTGCCATGGTGTCCTGAATCTATTCAAAACGTTTACCTTTCATGGTCATTTTGACTTTGGGGAAGAGCCAGAAGTCATGTGGTGCCAGATCCCATGANTTAAATACTGAATTTTCTACATTGATGGAGTCTACAGTCTAAGAGAAAAATGAAAACAGTTAGAATTATAACAAATATGATCATTGCTAAAATAGGGCTCTAAGAGCTAGGAAAAGCAGGGCAGAGATAGAAAGCTCTTCAAAAAGTATGTTGAGCTTGAAACATGTGCAGGACCCATAGAGAGAGGGGAAAAAAAAGCAATTGAGAATTAGGGACATGTTTCTATTCCAAAAGAAGAAAACAGACCCTGTAAAGAATAAAAAGGCAAGATAGAGTATGACAAATTGTGCAATCAGGAAGGCAACAGCTAAAACTTATATTTTCCTTTTTATTACAAATTATCTTTAAAAGTTTTAAATAAGCTCTGCCATCTTTAATCCATGCAACTATCTTAAAATTAACAAGAGTAATTTTCTAAGGAAGTTTACCAGCCAATTTATTACACTGTAAAACTGAAGGTTTTTTCCTCTACTTGGAGAAATTCTGTTCTTATCTTCTTAAGAAACTTCCAACAGCTGTCTCTAGGAAGTTTTTTATGGCCGAGTAATATTCCATTGTATATATGTATCACCTCTTCTTTATCCAGTTGTCTATTGATGGGCACTTGGGTTGTTTTCATATCTTGGCTATTGTAAATAGTGCTGAAATACACATAGCAGTGCATATATCTTTACAAATTAGTGTTTTATAGATTTCTTTGGATAATTTACCCAGGAGTGGAATTTACCCTGGGTCATAAGGTAGTAGTTCTATTTTTAATTTTTTGAGGAACCTTCAAACTGTTTTCCATAGTGGCTGCACCAATTTGCAATCCCACCAACAGTGCACGAGGGTTCCCATTTCTCCACATCATCACCAACATTTGTTGTCCGTTGATTTATTGATGGTGGTCATCCTGACAGGTGTGAGGGGGTATCTCATTGTGGTTTTTATTTACATTTCTCTGATGATTAGTGATGCTGAGCATCTTTTTATATGTCTATTAGCCATGCATAAGTCCTCTTTGGAGAAATGTCTATCCAGGCCCACTGTCCACTTTTAAAATTGGATTATTTGTTTTTTGGGTTTTAAGTTTATAAGTTCTTTATAAATTTTGGATATTAACCCCATATCAGATGTATCACTGGAGAATATCTTCTCCCATTAAGTAGGAGATTAAGTCTTTTTGTTTTGTTGGTGGTTTCCTTTGCTGTGCAAATTTAAAACAAATATTTTTAAGAAGAAATTATTTATGGGCTACTTTATGGGCTATTTACTTGATTCTATCTTGGATACGTATGAATGAATACACAGATACATATACCTATTATTTATGTGTGTGTGTATATATATGTATATATATGTATATATATGTGTGTGTATATATATA